ATGTTATCTCTGGAGACACAAATCCACAGTTTGAGAACTGCAAAACTAAGCATCTCTGATGGTATCTTCTAGACTGAGCACTGATTCCCATTGGGTAGATAGAAAGATTAACCTAAATAATCTATACAGAAGCCCCTGGAACCCTTTAAGATTGGGTCCCTAATCCATGAACTATTGGAACTCATTTACAAAACTTTTCTTAAACATTACATGAATATATTGTCTCATACTATAGAATTAGAATTTACAATCCCTATTCCATGATGAGATATCTTTGAGCTATAATGTAGCTATCTTTAGATAAAATGCTTTTTGAGGAAAGAACCTATCAAAAAAATCCAATTTTTATTTTATTTTTTTAAAAATATAATTGATTTTTATCTACCCTGCTGCACGCTGATAGAGAAGTCAGGCCATTGCTCCCAGACCGCATTCCTCACTGAAAGGGGCCTTTTTTTCTTTTTCTTATTGTACAGAAGACCTAGCCCTCTCTCTCCACCAGAGGCAACTTTGTGGAGGTTACTGTCATTCTAGTGTTTACACATCAATTTACAGTGTTATGACTCTATATTCACAATGGAAAAAGATAGAAACTCAGGGATTGTTTTAATTAAAGCGCAGAATTTCAGTTGATGGCAAAATGCAGCCCAAATGGTGGAGCCTCACTAAACCCCTGAGCGCTACTGTTTCTTTTTAGCCCTATGATTTGCTGCTGTATGTTGCCCTTTTAAGTAGATTGGCACTCAAAGCAGACATAGCAGCAGCAGCCACCAGCAAGCTCCCACTGTCCCACTCCTGACCCTATCATGCCCCCACCCCCGCCCCGCAGAGATAAGGTACGGGGGTGGGGGGAGGGGAACATCCTGACATCAGCACCCCTCTTCCCACTGCTCTGCATAGCAAGCAGCAGGCTCCTGGGAATAGCTCCAAGGCAGATGGCAGGAGCAGCACAGCAGTGGGAAACCTGAAGTGTGCAGCACTTGTTAGCTTGCTGGGCAGCCGCCTGGTCGTGCAGCTTTGAGGGAACTTAGATGTGGACACTTTTGAGGAATGTGTCTTGCCGACACAGCGGACACACTGTGCGAGTCCATCAGAGACAGGGATTGACAGTCTGCAAGTCAGGCAGCGTTTGAAGCCCGGTGATCCGGGCATGTCGGAGAGAGTCTGTCTCAAACAAGAAGGGAGCAGTAACTCTGTGGGAGCCAAAACTTATTTGCCTACGGAGGGGAATAAGGGTAGAAAAGCAAAAAAAAAAAAATAATTTTTTTTTTAAAAATAAAATAAAGTAAGTATAAAGGGCAAACTATCTAACTACTGAGTATACAGTGAAGTCGCATCATAGGCGCATTTAACTTACGCGATTTTAACTATACGCGCTCAGCAAAACAAAACAAAAGAGAGAAAAATAACAATTTAAATACTGTACCTGTAGTGTGGGCGATTCTGCCCGCCATTCCACTCAATGAGCGTTTGACTATACGCGATTTTCGCCTTACGCGCTGACTTCAGAACCTAACCCCCGCGTAAGATGCGACTCCCCTGTACTACCAACTATAAACTATCTTACCTAAAGGCTAATCTTATCTAAAGTTAAATGAGGGTGCTGCTGATTGCTCCGACTCAAGCCAAAGGCGGTAGAGAAGGAATTGAGGGACAGTGCGAGACAGCGACAGAGCATGCATGACACAACCAGGCACTGCTACCACAAATCTCTGATTACAAGCGCAGGGTGCATAGACACCTAAAGTGGAGCACCCACAGTGACACTCCTTGAAGAAGAACAAGGTTACAAGATTGTTATAGATATGAGTAGTGTGAATTACAAATGGTTATAAGCACATTAGCAGAAGGTGTTGAACAATCTATTGACCTGTTGTACTCTGTAACAGGCTACAACAATATTTTTTTTTTTAAACCACCATTCACCATTTATCAAATCCTTATCAACTATTTATAAATGGAACCTTAAAATAGAAGGTGTGACCACACTGCCTTTCCCACAAACATGTTATTTCTTCTTTTAATAAAGAGTTACAATTCTTCTGAACGACAGGGGAAAGACCGGCTTGCTTAGACACACATTTATATTGCTGAGGCTTCAGTTCAGAGACAGCAATAATAAAGCTACCATTGACCAAGACCACTCTTTTTATGGTGCTCAGAATCGCAAGGTTGTGATAAAGATCTGCTTTAACTACTGTAGCACACACCATGTTTTATGAAAACCCATGACAGACTATACAATTTGTGAAGCCTGATTTAACTGCCAACCTTTAGTTAAAAGGCACATTTATACTGGATTAATTGGCAGAGTAAGGCTCAATACTTGACTCATGCCTCCACTGTAAAAAAAAAAAAAAGATTCTGGAATATTGTACATTATGCATACAACGTGACAGTCAGTGGAAACTGTGGTAGCTACACAGCAAGCCTGGTTACTGCAACTGTTCTACCACTTTCTAACTCCAAAATTAACTTGGATCACAGCTGAATACAGTCTTCTAATAGAAGTAATTTTAATCTCTAAATTGTTTGCTAAAAAAAACTCTTTTCATGGAAGTAATTGGATGCAAGCCAAGCACCTTAATAAAGCACAAACCTAGGGTCTGATACTAAAACACCTTATGCCGGAACAGGAGTGAGTATGAAAACTGGAGTCAGGACAAACAAGCTCCATTCCCCGCTCTACCACTAACCTGCTTTGTGACACGTGGGAAGTCACGACTTCTCTTCCCATCAACAGGGGGTTAAGAGTTAACTAAAGCTAATATTAGATAAAAGGCACTGAAGTGGTGATTTAAGTGAAAAATTAGTTCATGTGCACTTGGACAGAAATACTGTCACATGGTTTGCAAACTGGCTAAAAGCTCAAACAACTCTCATGGCTTAGCACCTCTTGGTTGGCTGATGTCAGAAAAAGGGCATTTGAACTTACTGTTAACAATTCAAGTTTGCTGGTCTGATATTGGAGGAAGACTGGGTGGATAAAAACCAGTATTTAAAAAAACAAACATTAAAAAAGACAAATCAATTTTATAAAAATTTTAAATACATTTTTCTTTTTAAAAATAAATCTATTTGAAATCAAATTTGAAACTATGATAACCTATATTAAAGCCCAAACTTCCTATAATCTATTCAAATAATATTCAAGCAGTAAGTTTGCTGCCAAGGTTTTAAAGAAAGCCAAACGCCCTTATCTGATGAAAGTCACTGGCTAAGCTCCTGGAACCAGAGCATGCTGAAGTGTTAAACCAGCTTTGCACATCAGTAGCCTCCTTCTGTAGGTGCAGAGAAATTATTTTCTTAATTTCTGTTTATTCAAACTAATCCAGTTCAATGATTAGTTCATTCAGAGTTCAGAAACTGATTGGGAGTTGAAAAAAAAGAAGGAAAGCTTGTTTTCCTCTTCCAATATATAACTACAAATGAGGTGTACGAGAATGAGATCTACTAGTTCTAAGATCTTGAAGGACATAGTAACTAGAAGCAATCAGTTCAATGCTAACTATAGATAATACTTCCTCTGTTTAATAAACCAGTTAGCTTTAAATACAAAACATGTTTTGATAAATATTTTTCTTCTTATGTGTCCAACACTTTAAGGTAGGTTACGTTTATTAAGAAAACATTTTTAAAATGGTGTTTTTGTGCACTTTAATTGAATTCCAGTTTCCATCCAAATGCAACTTGACACACATGACAAACGAAAAAATCTAATCTAATAAAGAAATGCATCATTCACCATTTTCTAACAATAAAAAAGTAAAACTTAAGAATCTGAATAAATGTATATTAAGCTAAATAACTGCTTAAATAAGTGTGTATAAATATAGCATATCCTCCTGGTGAGTAAAAAGTACCATCAAATATAGAGTAAAGGCTATATTTAGTTGCAAATCAACATGTTTTAATGGAAATCAACCTTTCTTTAGGAAAGCAATTATAAAGTACAAATACAAAACAAGACTCAAATCGATTATTTAAATCAAGATTTCCTGCTTACTGATTTAAATCATTTTGATTTAAATTAATCCACCATAGGGGCAAGAGAACCAAGGTCACTGACTCAGCATCTCTAACTTGCTGGGCTAATGTCAAGACACTGATCTCTTTGAAATTACTGGTCAACAGCTGTAGTATGCTATTCTCATGTAAAGACACAGACTTCTATGAGGTAACTCTAGCTTGCTGAGCTGATGTCGAGAGCGACAATCCTCAGAGGTCAGTGGTTCAACATCTCTCACTGACAAGATAACAGAGACCCCAAGATGATTATATGGGGTATAGACAAACTAAGCATAACTTTTCTGGATAAATTAGACTGCTGTTGATCACTTTATGATTTGTAATGGTTAATGCCTTATTTTGATCAACTGTGTAGCAGCAGAAACAAATTTACATACCACCGTTCCGAAAAATCTATCTTGGATCTTGGGGAAAGAAAAATGGTTTACGGAAAAAAAAGACATTTACCCACACTTTTCGCAAAAATCGAAACAGACATACTAAAGCAAAGACTCCTATCTACGTAAGGGCAATAAGTGTTTCAATGCAAGAGCTCCTCATTGAATCAAACCAATCTACCTTCTGACATTTTAAAAAGATGTTTCGAATCAGTCTTTAGAATATGCCATCACTCACTCTCTTTCCACTTATTAAGTGTTGTCTCAAGAGACCTGCAATTATATAGAATCATCATCAGCTGCTCATTTAAAAAAAAATTACTGTTCAACCAACCTAATTTAAAAATAGGGATTCTTAAAGATGTGAAGTTCTATCCTATTTGTTCTGATTGTGAAATGCATTTCCCATGTCCTAGCCTACACAGCATCTATCAGTGTCTGTCTCCTTATTTCAATACTGTTGCTTTTTAATCAGTTTATGATAAAATTAAATGTTTCCTCTTTGCTATTCTAATGGCTTTTATACTACACATTAGTTCTTTTAAATCCATTTGAATATTATTTTAAAACAGCAGGCTAACTTTATGAACTTACCACCACCTGTCATCTCCACATCTTGGGTTAAATTTGTATTTTCTGATGTGACCTCTTTGGGACTATTTTTCAACAAAACACTCCTGTAAACCTGCAATACGTGGGGGAAAATGCAGTTGTCAAGTAACACAAGAAACTCAAACTTAGATTAAATCTCAGTTCTCAGGTTAAATGCATGTAACATTCATTCTCCAATATTAGTATGAGCCCACTTAAAAGAGAGCTTGTATCAAACATTTATCTATAGGTAAGACAATGTTATTTACTCACATTGCTGTTTGCTTGTGGCTGGTTTCTGTAGCTTTTCATTATGTCCTGAAAAGTTCTTTCCTCTTTGGTCACCTGGAAAAGAAAAAACCCAAGAGGAACTACTTGAGACAAAACATAACAACTATGATAGTTATTTATCAGAGGGGTAGCCGTGTTAGTCTGGATCTGTAAAAAGCGACAAAGAATCCTGTGGCACCTTATAGACTAACAGACGTATTGGAGCATAAGCTTTCATGGGTGAATACGAAGTGGGTATTCACCCACGAAAGCTTATGCTCCAAAACGTCTGTTAGTCTATAAGGTGCCACAGGACTCTTTGTCGCTTTTTATGATTATTATATTACAGCACATAAGTACTTATGCTTGTTTAAAAGGGAATTTTTCCAGAGTTTTCTTTATCTCATTTAGTCTGAAAAAAGTAACGAAGCTAAGAAAAGTAAATGATTCATAGATTCATAGATTCTAGGACTGGAAGGGACCTCGAGAGGTCATCGAGTCCAGTCCCCTGCCCGCATGGCAGGACCAAATACTGTCTAGACCATTCCTGATAGATATTTATATCAGAGTAGGAATAACTCACGTATTTTTTCTGGCCTACAAAAAGGTGATCTTCAGTTTAATGACCAGCCCGCTCCACCTTTCCTTTCCATGACAGAGAAAGGGAAAACTATGCCACATTCAAGAACTCTTAGTATGTTGAAAGACTTTGGGGTTATGTAGGGCTTCACAGTAGTGGAAACAGAAGGCAGCACACCCTGAGCCTTCACTTTCCAGCCCACACACAATACGACTTCTAAATAGGGGAGGATGGGAAAGCAGATCCTACAAGAAATTAGCCTTACTTCAGCAGGGGAGAAAAAGATGAACATGTTTAATTCCAACATGCTTTATTCTTATATAGCTCAATTTGTGTAGTTTTGCTGTGATGTTGCGTATTTCAAGAATATGCTTTGTACATTTGATTTCAAATCCATACTGTACATTTTTCATGAGCATTACATATGGCTTGAACTTATACATTAAAAAATGTAGTTCTGATATCTGAATATGACAACATGAGGAGAATAGTTTTTAGTTAACAATTCCTGCTGCTCATCTGCACTTGTAAAATTACTGCTCACTTAAGCTGAAGCTTAAAAATTACTTCTTCCCCTTTCCCTCAGAAGCTACCCCTGAATTGGAAAAGAGAACAATTATTAAGTCTTAGTGGGTAAGTAAAAATTTTAGTGATATTTGAAAATTGGATTTCTTATCCTTTGTTACTGGTATCTTCCTTATTTTCTGGAACGGGATGCAAGGTTACAGGGACACACATGTTCAGCTCTGTTTCAAGGTAAACAACATGTATCACCAATTTTAATAGCAAATGATCAACACTTTTGCAATGGAACTACAAGAAAAATGTATCAAGGTCCACTTGCTACAGTTGGGCTGTCAGGTCTCATTGCACTGGCGGCAACACTTCAGAGAAAAGCAGGAATCATGCAGCTGGCACACTTACTCAGTAAGACAAGGGAACACAGAGATCATTCAATGGTGGTATTTTTCTGCAAACCTTGTAAAACTAATCTAAGATTTAAGGATTGCTTACAATTACTAAAAGTAAAAGCAAGTAATTGTATTCCATGGCAGCTACATTCCACAGGTAATACCTTTTCTCATTTTGTCTTTCCTATTAAGGCTCACTGGGCAAGTCAATTTAATATTCTCATCCCATTCAGCACAATGGAGTCCTGGTCCATGACTATGGCTCCCAGGTGCTACAGTAATGCAAATAATTACATTGGCACCTTGCCTAGTTTGAGTTCTGTTTTGTTTTATTTTTTTCACCTGAGTTTGCATCAGTCAGAAGATTACAAAACTCCCATTTGTGTGATAAGTTGGGCTGTTTATAGCACCTCAAAACATAATGTGAAAAGCTTGCATATCTCTTTTTATTTCTTAGCAAAACATTGTATTGCTAAGATAGATTCTTAGCTAGGTTCCTCAACCTTAATATCCTGTGTATGCAACTGCTAGAAGAATTATTTTTTGAATTGAATTGAAAAAAGTGAAGTGTGGATATATAAAGTAAATTATTCCATGGAGGTGCAAGCCCCAGCAGCCTGTTAGTTAGTGCTCTGCATAACTACATAGATGCACTAGACTATTTCTAGTCATAGTCTCTCACTTCATAGACCAGCAGGGGTGCAGGCAGAGCACCAGAGATAAGCAACGTGAGGCAATCCCTTCTGGAGACAGAATATAACTATATTCTTTCTAGCTGACAATGGAACAGTGTGAATGAGCTCAAAAAAAGGAGTGCCATCCAGTCCTGAGTCAAAAGGGTTGTTGATATAGGACCTTGAGGGAGGATACGTAAAGGAAAGGAAAAGAAGACTTCAGGGCTTCATCAACATCCTGGAAGCACCTCCCCTCCCCAGTAAGATATCAAGAGTAAAGCAATTGTATAGTAGATTTTCAGTTTATTTTATTAGTTGCTGGAAATAGCTTAAGATATAATACTTCCTAAAACCTATACGTTACCTTTGCCATAATGTAAAAGGCACAAAGGAGGAGCTGATCCAAATGTCTGTCTTTCATTAGATCAGTGCAATGAACTAATGTGAACTCAAAACATGTCCATATCTTCCTGCGCAACTCAATGGAAACGTCCAGTTTTAAGCACAAATCACGCAAGCGCACACTTGCCAGATGATACACCTGGGAGGGAAAACAGCACAACAGAGAGTGAAGTCAACGGAATCTTGAAATCTAGTTTTATCACAATTGTGAGTCTTAAAACAACAAAGAATGCCAGCAATTAAAGGGAAGAATTCCAGAAAGCAATTTTTTTTTTTTTTTACCTGTACATGTTTCTGCATGTCAGAAACAACAATTTGAGATGGATGGACTGTATGTACTCCAACTCTATGATTGTAAAGCTAGATAAGTGCTGCTACCTGTCAGTTTAGCACCTTTTGGATCCCAATTCCAGCTCTTTGTTTTCTAGTGCCAGACAAATCCTCCACAGCATCAAACACAAACGTTCAAAATGTTAAAGCAAGGAAAACAACAAATCAGAATCCTACTTAACAAAATACCATTTGCTTAACCAGAAGCAATTTGCCTTCATGACACAGAAGAGATGTCTAGCTCCCACTCCACTAGTTTTCTTGTCTCTTAGCAACTAGAAACTAGAATAGAAAACTTCCATTTCTATATTTGAAACTCAAATATCTACAGGTAAAACCCTACTTTCTGCATGTTCAAATTCATAAGTCCAGAATTGACAGGATCTATGCAGCAATCCCTTCATATAGAGCACCAAATTCGAGTGTGGCTAAAAATGAGAATCCATCAACTAAAAGCTACTCTAATAAAAAGTGCTAAATGCACCAAAGTTGCCATCCTACCAATCTCTGCAAGGGGTTCTGCATGGGAGAATGTACTCAAAAACTGAGTTGTCGTCTCTGCCTTACAGGCTTCAGAAATACAAAGTTTGATCCAGCTGGCCAGTTTAATTTGACAAGCATTGTACCTGAACTACTCCACCTACCTGACCACATACCTTGGGACCCCTCCAGATGAACAGGAAGTTTGAAGAGGTCATGTACTTTACTTACACCCAAGGAGAGTCTTGGATTAACCTACACAGTATTTATCAGGTTTCTTTTTAAAAACACCTAATTCAGATGAAAACCTGAGATGACCTTGACAAGTGCAGCATGATTAACATTCTTTCATTAACTTTAGAAGTTCTTTCCCCCCACTATGAGAACTAAGAACACAAAGACATTTATGTCTGGAAGTAAAAGGAGTAGACTAAAAGTTCCACAAGACAGGCAGAAGAGAAGAATACCCTTTTGTGCACAAGAGTTTGAGTTTGTATAACCTGTAACCAAAAGGTTAAAACTCCCTTAAAGACGGGGTTTCATTAGAAGCTTGGATTTTAGCTTTCCTAGCAACAGGGAAGAGTAGTTTTGCTTATTATATAATTTTCCAAGCACACAGTGAAAGCAGATAAAGATGCATAAAACCACTGTATGATTGAAAATGAAGCTTGCATGTTGGTGGGACATTACTTTGGACCAACTTAATTCTCAGCCCTCTTCAGACATGAGGCGGGGATAGCAGCTGTTTGATTGAAAGCAGAGAACCAAACTCCATTCTGCCTGTGAGATCCTAAGAGAAATCAGAATCTCTAAGAATAAGTTTTATTTTCTCTCTCTGTAACAAAGCACTCCAATGAATGAATCCCTCACTGCTAGTGTTGCTGGCTGAAACTATGGCCACCAGGAATACAATTAAATAAAGAAGCTAGAAAACTCCAACAGGGAAGCATACAAATAGTGCAGGTACTATGATTTAAGTTTTTGGAAGGCAGATTAAGACTGATCTAATCAGGTATACTCAGCGGGTTTGCTCATGTTTATGTATAAAGAAATCTCCCCTCACCTTGTCTCTCTCTAAAATGGAAAAGCAAGAGAAAGGCAGCAAAACTCCTATAAGTTATGCATGCTTATTCATCCCTTAAATTCTTTCCTTCCTCTGGTAAGCAAGCATGTTATTCCTCTTTCTGAATACTGTCCCAGAGGGCTTAACTATCCAACATAGCTTTGTGAAGCCCCACATAAGCAGCCAATTCTGGACGGGTTGGTGGGTCCAGGAAACAGATGTTACTTCCAATAGAAGAGATGACAGAACGGGATTTTCAGAGACAGGAGAAGCTGAAACAAGAGTGTGTGTCTGAACACTGATCAGTTACAGGAGGACAGTCTTCTTTTTAGCATGTCCAATCCATGCATCTGAGAGAGGGATGATGAAAGTTTTCCAAGTCCTAGTTCAAAACCCATTAGAAGAGAAAGAGCTCAGAGAGATTTAGAAGAGAAAACACCCTCAAGGCTTATCTATATTACACGCGGGATCGACGGGCAGCGATCGATCCAGTGGGGGTCGATTTATCGTGTCTAGTCTAGATGTGATAAAGTGACCGCCGAGCACTCTCCCGTCGACTCCGGTACTCCAGCCATCAACTTACTGCAGTGAAGACACCACAGTAAGTAGATCTAAGTATGTCGACTTGAACTACGTTATTCACGTAGCTGAAGTTGCGTAACTTAGATTGACACCCCTCCCAGTGTAGACCAGGCCTTATTTGAGGCCTTACTCCAGCCTACAGGGTCTATTTGAGGCCTTACTCCAGCCTACAGGGTCTATGTGCATTATCTCCTCTCTCTGAGAATTTCTGGCAAAGCACTAAGGAGTTGGAGCTAGTACAGCTATCTGCACCCTCAGCAGAGCTGGGAGGCAACAAGAGCAGGAATAAGGAACCAAAAAGCACCAACAATTTGTGGCTAGCTATTGGAGATGTTGCCTGTCAACCAAGGAGATCAGAGAACAACCCATCTGGCCCTAATTAGTGGATCTGAAAAGCAATTTTTTAGTAATAGGATTTAAAAGCATTTTCCGGCACAGGTGGTTTTATTAGTGACAAAGGAAAAGTAACTGAACAACACAGGAGTATAATGGAACAGTTAGAGAGACAGACAAGTTTAAATATAACCAAGCATTAACAAAACAGAGCACTTGGTCAATAAAAGATTACCTCACCCACCTTGTCTCTCTAAAAGAGAGAAAGACATTTAATACAAAGCAACTCTTAGGCAAGATATTTACCTTTCTGTAAAACAGTGCCAGGGAGCCAGTTTTCTTTGGTTTGCTTCCTGCTGACTGATGTGCTTCCTGTGCTTGATTCATACGGGAATGGTTTGGAGATGCATCAATTAAAGCTTGAGCAGTGAGAGGTACTTGTCCATGACTCTCCACTTTAGACTGCTGAGATAAATTCACTGAAATGGGAATCAAGGTGATCCCTCCAGTGTCGTTTGCAATACCTGAAGACATATAGAAACACATTATTTTGCAGCCAAGCTGCATAGTTTAATTGCAAATATAATCATAATTCACAGAAACAGTTAATGTTAAGATTGTTCTGCAGTGTTTGATGTCAAAGGAACCCTTGTTTCCCGGGCAGTGCGTTCATAAAGGAACTTTATCGTACTCCTGAAAATACTTAATGGGAGGGACACTGTAAATGTGAAAGATCCCACTTCCGTCTAAAAGTATTGTTGGTACAAAATTTACTAGAAACATTAAATATTCCTATGACTGAAAGCTAGCAACATCTTTCTTATTTTTTTCCAGTTTACTTTGTGCATAGTCAGTTTCACTGTTTCCCCCGTTATCAGTTTCTCTCTCAAGCGTCAAAGGGGAGAGAAAGAACATAAATGTTTTTAAATCAATTTCAGAAAAAACCCTAAGACCTACTGTTTAATTAGAACATGTAATCGATCAGAAACAAATATTCTGAAATTGACACATTTACAATAACCTAGAGCGGACTGTCCCTTTACCAAAAGTTACTTACTGTAACTGTGGTTCTTCGAAATGTGATGCAGACATGTATTCTAGTTAGGTGTGTGCACTCCCAGTGCACTGGAGCCTGCGACTTTTGCTAGCAGTACCTGTAGAGGGGCAGTGCTTGTCTCTTATGGCCCCTCCCCTGGCTATATGAGGTGGTGTCGCCTCCACCCCACTCAATTCCTTCATAACGAAATCCCATGAGAGGAGACTCCGATGCAGAGGGTGACAGAGGGAGGGTCATGGAATACATGTTCGCATCATACCTTGAAGAACCACAGTTACAGTAACTGTTTCTTCTTCGAGTAGATGCAGATGTGTATTCCAGTTAGGTGACTCATAAGCACTACCGCGATCTGTAGGCAGGGCTCAGAGTTTACTGGAATAGGGATCACAGGACCGTCCTTCTGAGGCCTGCATCTGCTCAGGAAGATGCAGTAATAGCATAATGATCCATAATCGTACATATAGACGACCAAGTGGCCGCTCTCCAAAAGTCCAGTAAGGAAACGTCACTGAGGAATGCTATCAATGTCGCTTGCACCCTTGTGGAGTGAGCCTGTATCCGCTGAGGAGGCATAGCCAAAGTTATCTCACATAGTCTTGATATAGGATGTTATCCATCTAGAGGTGGTCTGTGCAGAGACTGCTTGCCCTTCATGCAGTCTGCATATGACACTAGCAGGCAAGATGAAGCACAAAATGGCTTAGTCCTGTCCAGATAAAAGGCTATATATGGCCTGACATCCACGGTATGGAGTCGATGTTTCTCCAGGGAAGCGTGTGGCTTAGGAAAAAACACGGGTAACTGCTTGGAAGCGGTAGGTCAGCAGGAACACCCTTTACCTCATGGAATCTAACGGGTCTAATGAACTCAATTTTTATTTAATTTTTTGAATGGGAACCATGCACTGGTCTACAATTTTTGAGAAGTCG